AATAAGTCTGAATGTACATCAACATAAAACGTATGGAGTTGTACGCCAAAAATTTCAAAGAACCCTACCTTTTCAGGAAAATAATTGAGAATCCTACTACTTAAGCTGTGATTTTCTCATCCGATATAAATTATTCGAATATCGATTCAAAATAATAAATTGAAGTCTCTCTCGGTCCCTACAAGACTGACTATTTTGGCCGTATTCCGATCCCGTCACCCTCATTAACCTCGTCCCGATCCCGACATCTGTTTTTGCATTCTAACGACAGCTGTCATGCTGCTTATGTCCAGTTTTTCAAGAAACGAGAGAATTTGAGACATGGAGATGAACAATAAATCTTACCAACAAAGGAACTGGAACAGATTATAAAGATAACAGTTCTAGCGACAGAGATATTTAATGAAAGTGGCTATGTACACTTAGGTACACATACCCAACCGACTGTGTACACTCAAGTAGAGTATAATCAATTAATTGGTAAATATTAAGTTATATTATAGTCTTATATGTACTTAGTTATTAATATAAATAAAAGTTCTTAACTTATTAGTAATTTTACTTTATTAATTCTTTATTACATTGAAATAAAGTATAAATCAAGTATTACAATTACACAAGTATAGAAAAAAACTTAATTTAAATAAAGATCAACTAATTCGGAAACATTTCTAGCGCTTCCTCTCTTAGGCTTTGAAGAAATGGTTGTACACGAGTCAAGGAAATATTTCACGTGTGAACGCACCAAATCTTTTCCCATCCATGTCTGTTCACGTGCATAAAATTATCTTCCATGCGTCTTCGCACGTAGAATTCTCAAAAACAAGACTATTTTGCCGTGTACACACGTGGGAAAAAATATCAGGCGGTGTTCACATCGTGGAGGGTATCAAAATTTCCACATGAGTTGCTTGTTGTGCTATCCCAGAAGAAAAAACGATGCCCAGTTTTCCTTCAAAAGATATTGTTTTGCGCTCAAGTCATATGATTTCCAGTTTTAAAGTTTTGATCTTTCAGCAGAGTGCTATTAATACAACTCAGAGAGGAATCAAAATTTTTCGAAAAATGATTTAAGCTCTAAGATAGAAGCTTAATCATGTGTGATAAAAGTTTCAGTTCAATCGATTAAAATTTTGATAGAGTTGTAGATTGACAAATTGAGGGCATTTTTTTCATCTTGATCTCTCTAGAGAATCGAAAGACTTGAGGATACTCTATAATCTTAAGTTCTGCTGATATATAATCCCTGAAACGTTCAGTGTATGAAATAAAAGTGTAATAATCATGCCGCTACTCTAGATATTTTTTCCAATGGAGGGATGTCAGAGTTCCTGCAATTCAGCTATTCTATAGAATTCAACGTTAGTACAGACATAGTTGCTAACTTAGAATTCTATAGAATTCTACGTTAGCATCGATATTCTTTTTATTGACCAAGTTTGAGTCAAGCAGAAATATATAGAATTCTATAGAATTCTACGTTAGTACAGACATAGTTCCTCACCTAGAATTCTATACATTTCCGCTTGGCTCAAACTTGGTCAATAAAAAGTATATCGATGCTAACGTAGAATTCTATACGTTTCCGCTTGTCTCCCACTCGGCTAATGTATTTGTATATGTGTAGTAAGGTAGAATTCTTCTATAGAATTCTACGTTAGTAGAAATACATTTATTACTGACCAAGTTTGAGTCAAGCGGAAATGTATAGAATTCTATGGAATTCTGGAATTCTATATAGCGAGAAAGCCAGAAAGACGCTGCATCTTTTCGTCTAGTTAGATTGAACATCAAATACAGTTTGAAGTACAAAAAATACATTAGAAGAAAAAGTAGCCTTTTTTTACTACAATGTACATCGACATCTAGATTATAATGAAAGAATTTTTGAAAACAATGCTAATGTCGATCATAATATTCGTCAGTTCCATATATCAAGCCACACTTTCGATAAGCATTTTTAATTTCTTCCTTAGATAACGAATAGAAAGCTTCTGAAAGTAGTAAGGGTATATCAGTTACAGTTAATGGATGTCGATTTCGAATAAATTCTTTAAATGAGTGTCACAGTGGATTATTCAAGAGTGACAGATATTTTGCGGACGCTGTTGGCGTATGCATTAAATCAAATCTACTAATTTTTCTATAGGAATCTATAGAGAACGTTTTCAGAAATAATGGGATGAAAATATTGGGATAAATTTGGTACAGTGGGTTTTCATAGAAAATCAACTATGGCGGATCCAGCGGTTGATTTGTACTTCCAAAATTCCGAAATCTCCAAAGAACCTTTTCGGAAAGATCGAGATTTGCTGCTCGAAAAAGAGCATTAATAAGAAATTGAATATTTTGTTAGAGCTTGATATTTCAATAAACCCTGAAATGTTTTCTGGAGATCCTTCGGTGACCTTTGAAGGTCCTGTAGAGACCCTCTGAAGATCTCGAGAATATACCCATTGAATGCACCATAGTTGATTACTTATGACTTCGCTTTTTCTGCATGTAACCTTTCGCGCTTTATAGCAAATCGAACATTGAAGGTTTTGTTGTTTTTCCTCCTTCGTATCCGAATCATGAGACACTACAAGAATAACTCGTAATTGAGACATGTTACTTTAATTTCTCATGAAACATTTATCTAAAAATGGATAAGCACACCCTGATTATAAAAAATACTGCTACAGGAAAAGTTTATACTTTGCGGATCTTTGCGGTAATTTAGTCGTAAAAAGCAAGATAGTAGCAGCTATTTCAAAAACCGCCATCTCCGTCGTAGAAATCTGGAATATTTTTAGATAGAAAACTAAAATCTTGTGATATTCCTTCTTATTTCAAGAAAATATTAAATAGTTCATTTTTTCAGAGAATACAAAATTTTAAAATTCTGCTCCGTGTTTAGTTGATGCCGAACCAGAATTGACAATGTTGTAAATTAGTTTATCCTAAACGGTAATAACAGGTCAAACAAAAACAATGAAATACATACAAACATAAATTATAAAAAGATCAATCTTCTTCCGTAGAAGAATCATAACGAATAAAGTTAAAAAAGCCTATTTTGATCTTTGTAAGTCTTTCATATACCAAGTTCAACACTAACTCAGCAGGCCATTGATGATCATCTAAAACGAACGAAAGAAACTTTCTGACCTAGATTTCCGAGAACAAATAGTTTACAGCTAGAGAAAAATGTACTCGGTACATATGCAACAAAAAAAAATCGTCTTTTATTCCTATTCAATTGATAATGAATTATTCCTTCAACAACCAAACGAACAGAATCAAAAGTTTAATCACAATTAAAGATAATCGTGATTATTTGCATAGTATATATAAATATAATTTCTGCTTTCGTGAGAAACTCGATGTTTCCCCACCAAAACATCTTTTCTCTTAAGAAACTCTGTCTGGTGTTGTTTTAAGCATTTTTTTTTTTATTGAAATAGAAGCATCGCCAATCGGGTATTTACCCATTATAGGCTTTGCAAAAGAATGAGAAGAATGATTATGAGAAAGCAAGAATCAAAAATAGTAAAAAGGAGATAACATAATGTGCTGTGAAAGGACGATAGGAAGAATGGCTGTGTGTGTGGAGGAAAAAGTTTTATGTAAAAAAAATAGAAACATCAGACACGGTCAAATCGCTTTGTCTCCTCAATATATTTTAAAATAACTCTGTAAATATCTTGCATCTGTTCAAATGAATGGTGGAGATCTCTAAAACCACGGAGAATAAAATCAACACTCTCAAATTTGTTGACAGTTAACTCTACCATTTTCCTTCCCATCTTTATCCTTGCCTGCGCGTAATTTGGACAGTGTAAAAAGAAATGGGCAACAGTTTCATCCGCGCCACATGAACACGATGGATCACTGACTAGTGTATGTGTGAACAGATCAAATTTTAATTGTGTGAAAAACCAATTCGCATTCGACAAAAGTTAATCTCATTAGTTCTATCGACAATATGTAGAATTCGATAAATACTTGGTAAGTGTTTATTTTGTTTCTAGTGAAGAGGACGTACTTTGCACTGACTAGATCGACTTGGACTACGCTTAATAATTTCTCTTGCCAAACTGGATGATTCTCCAAAAACACTTGATGTGTTTCTTAGAAGAATTCGATGTTTTTCGCGTTTCCGTGAGGAGATCGATACCTTCCAGAAACTCCATGTTTCTCGAGAAAAGCTCATCTTTGTTCTTCAACAACGCGATCTTTCGGCACAAGAATGTGTCTCCCTGAGGAACTCGATGTTTCCGCACAAGAACTTCATCCCTTCTCTTTATTACATCTGCTTACATCATATCTCCACCGTCATGTGTAATTTCACAATAGAAGGGCAGAAACAATGGTACAATGTTGGTGCATATAAGAGGTGCACATTCTGCCTGCCCTCCTTTCTTCCTTATCGTTTCTCATTTCAAACGAAAGAAGAAAAAAATGTCGTCTGCAAGACAGCGGGTGGTGGCTGACCGAAATACGCCGATATGTCCATCTACACAAGAACACTACTTCCAGGATCTTCACATGCAGCATCTCGTTCAAGAAGGACCAACCTGTGTGTCCTAGACTCGATCATGTTCTACCTCTTGATCATGGCGAGGACTCTAGCTCGCAACAAGCAGTGTCTTTGCTTCTTTTTAGTTTGTGCATTTATAGGGCGCAACGGTACGGAAGTTGAAGATCGCTCAACGCCTAAAACTGTTACTACAACGCAGCTATTCTTCTTAGTATTGTACCTGTGCAACACCTGTTTAGAAGTGCGATTCTTCTACCTAGTTTTCTTATTTGTATATATTTTTATGTTTCTGTATCATCGATTTATGATTTTCAATTAATTTTCGTATGAGTACAGCCGTGCATTTTCTTTTATATACAGTAAGGTGCAAAAGTCTTTGCCCTGAGTATTTCAAGTATTTATCAGGGTGGATATGACGGATATTAAAACCGAATATGTACATAGATAGGGCATGGTACAAGGTATAAAAGTATCACAATTAATAGTTAATCCTCTCTCCCTTCGAATCAATCAAAGCTAAACATCGTGCTTTTATCGATTCGCCCAAATGATTTAGAGTGACCAAGTCGGTTTCTTCCCATTCTTCGTGTAGAAATCTGTCCAGTTCATCGAGATTTGAGGGTTTTCGCTTCCCGACAAGACGTTTGATGATCGAACAGAGGTTCTCCACTGGATTAACGTCGGGGCTGTTCGACGGCCAATCGATCATTTCGGACACTTCGTTGAGTAGGAATTGCCTTGCCACTCGGCTTCTGTGTTTCGGATCATTGTCTTGCTGCAATCGCCATCGTCGACCGAATTGCCTTCTGGCGTTGCGAATAAGGTGATCTTGAAGAATTTGAACGTAGTAGGGACCATCCATAATACTTTTGAACGAATGATAGCCGACTAGGCCCTTGACACTGAAGCCACCCACACCATAATCTTTTGTCTGTTCTTCGGGATTCGTTTGACCTCGGCTCTTGGATTCTTTGACCATCGACGAATGGTGTTTCTGAATAATTGTTAGCAGGATTCGTCGGTATATGAGCTAGCCTTAAGAAAATGTAACTGGGTACTTTAAGATCCGAAATACTCGGCAGAATCCGAGGAAACCGGTAGGTCAACGTCGTTCATGTTTATAACGGTGACTAATTTTCTCGTTAACCACTCTACTTTATACATCATTCGATAGAGAATTTCAAGGGCTTCAAAATGATGCATAAGATAGTTTTAAGAAAATGTAACTGGGAAGTCTAGGCTTCCAAATACTCGGTAGTATCTCAGCAAACCCGTAGGTCACCATCGTTCATGTTTGCAATATCCATTGATGTTCTTGTGAATTACTCCGTTTTATATGTCATTCGATAGAGAATTTCACGAGCTTCAAAATGAGCTATGAATAAGTCTTTCAAAAATATGCCCACATCGGTCAATAGTTGAAATCCTTGGTCGATATAATGATTTTGAGCAAACTTTTCTGACCAAAATAAGATCTCGTGCATTGGAGTGTTAATTTAGTTATATTGTTCATTTATAATAATGGATAATATTAAATGAATCATTTATATTTATTTATTTATTTCTATCTTTATTTTTAAAAGTAAAGGTAGAAATAAATAAATAAATATAAATGAATCATTTACTTTTATAAAATAAAGATAAATTGGTTTTTTCATTTATTTATATTTATTTTTTAAATATAAATGACGAATTTATCTTTATTTTTTAAGTATAACTGATTCATTTACTTTTATCCATTATTATAAATGAACAATAAAACTAAATGAACACCCCTACTCTACATGAGAGTTACACCTGAAATATTTCCCAAGATATTTAATATACTTCAAGCTAGAGAGGTTAGGTTTGCTTTATTTTNGCACCTAACTACATTGTCTTCCCACAGTTGTAGGAAGCCGACTCTACATCTACAAAAGCTGATAGCTGCATCTCTGTTATAAATGAAAGGTATCTTCGGTATTTTCAGTGGTGATAGCATGCGAGTTATGAATTTTTTGTATGCGAAGCGTACTCGTATCTCTAGTAGTAGCGCATTATAATACCTAGCAGTACAATAAATCATCGAGTCATATAACACATTCAAGCGTGAGCGGGTAGAAGAAAGAAACATTTTTTCACGACTTCGAAGTGAATAAGAAAAAGCTGTAGGTAACAATATTTTCAAGAAAGAAGGCGTTTTTCCAGTTGTTATTTTTGTTATCAATTTGTGGCGAAACCTACACGTTCTAAATCCTCCACTGGATTAAATCTAATTTTGTCGATAACGTGAAATTAATTGATAAAATAAAAATCGTG